TAAGTCTGAGTGTGAGTCAGTCTGTGCATGAGTAAGTCTGGGTACGAGGAGGACAGGGGAGGAGAAGGAGAAGGAGGAGAAGTCGGCAGCGTCCAAGAAATAGAAAGAACCCCATCTTAGGATATGGGAACAACTAGCCTGACGAAGGGCCTAACCATATGCAGCTGCGAGAACCGCATTGTGGGTGCCGCTTTCGGTGGTGTGCCGAAATGGGCATGCGGTGGGCGGGGGCGAGCATGTGGACGCGGCCGCTGGAGCCTTCGGTGGACCCCCCCAAAAAAAACACACAGCTGTTCGCCGCCGTTGAGGGCTCTGGTCGGCTCTGCAGCGAGCGTCGCGCCCCTCGGCCGACCTACGTACCTCGATCGATGTTGCTGTCCCTATTCGTGTTTGTCTGGCTGTTCGGCTTAGCATGTGGCATGTGGCTGCGCGGCTACCTGAGTGGCGGGCCGAAGACGGCGGCGACCGTGGCACCGACGTCTCCGCCGGCTCCCTCGAAGCCTCCACCGGCTCCCGACGCCTACGCCGGCTCCCTCGACGCCTCCGCCTGCTCCCGAGTGGAGCCGACACCTCCTCGGGAACGATTCGTGGTCACGGCTCCGAAAGGCGACAAGTACCGCCTGAGGGGCGATTGCCCAGGTTTGCACAACCGCGATTTAGCTGGGCGTTGGGAAAGGAGGGTTCCGAGATCACCCTCCCCCTCCCTCCTCATACGTATCCATCTCGGTTAGCGTGCCCTGGCGGGGCGGGAAGATGCGCGCTATTCTTCCCTACTTACCCTACTTGCCCGTACTCTTCCCCACCCTCCCCCTTCTCATCCTGCCCTTGCGTGCGAATCCTTATCCCTCGTCCTCGCTCATCCTCCCCTTGCTTTTCCTCATCATCCTCACTCTCCACCTCCTCCACTTTGTCCTCAACTGGAAACACGAACCTCCTTTCCCAACGCCTTGTGTTCTGGCCGCTTGAAATGCAAGCATCTTACGTACTGGCCTCTGTGTAAGTTGTGCGCCAAGCATGAGTAGGACAGATGCCACTGCATATTTAGATGAGATCGCGCAGCCACGCATCCAGTCTCCTCCTCCTCCTCCTCCTCCTCTACCTCCTCATTCCTAGTGCTCGGCAACAAAAACAAAAGGCCCGAGATCCGAGTAGGGCCGGAAAACAGGCCAGACAGCCATCGGATTCTGACCGTTTCAGCAATTGCAGGTCGCCACTGCGTGGCGAGGCCATCGGATTCTCACCACTTAGGGTCATGTCGGGGGGTTGGGGGGGTGCCTCGACCGGCTCTTCGTCTGGATCGACAGCATCCTCTCTTCGCTCTGGGCAAGAAGTGAGGGGAACGGGAGGGGGATGAGGAGGAGGAGGAGGAAGAGGAGGAGGAGGAGGAGAGAAAGGAGGAGCACTGGTCCAAGGAAAGAGGAGAGGAGGAGGAGAGGAGGAGGAGGAGGAGGAAAGGACAGAGTGTGCGCTTAAAGCTTTCCTCATACGTATTATCCCTCACTGCCCCCTGGCCCCATCCCCCCTCCCTCGTCGTCGTCGCCATCTTCCATCTCATCCTAATAGTTTCGATGCGGCGCAGTTTGACCGCGTCGGTTCCTGCGTCGCGGATGTTCGCCTTTGGTGAAGCGAATCTCCAAGAAAAGCCATATTGATAGGGACATCCTCAAAAAAGCGCACCTCGGATATCACGTACGAAAATTTCGGGGACGCGACTGTTGCGTACGTTACAAACGCTTATGGCTTCCAAGACGCGAATCGTGTGTAAGTTACAAAGGATTATGGGTTCGGGGACGCGGATCTGGTGTAATTTACTCAGGTTTATGGCCTTGGGGACGCAAATCGTATGTAATTTATATGTCATCACGGGCACGAGGGGGTGGGGGGGGGGGTCAATGCACGCTAACCATGTGATGGTTGGGGGGCGGATGATTCCAAGACGCGAATAGCGTCTTGGAATCCAAGACGCTATTCGCGTCTTGGAGGGTTTCTGGCTTCCAAAACGCGAATAGCGTGCAATTTGCAAGGAATCTGGCTAAGGGGACGCGAATTAAAAGGTTTATGGCTTCGGGGACGCAAATATTGTGCAATTTATTTGCGAGGGCTTACGTATGGCTTGGACGACGCGAATCGTGCAACTTATTAGTCATCACGGGTACGAGGTGAGGGGGTCAATGCACGCTGACCATGAGATGGATGGGGGGGATGAGGAGGAGGCTTCATGCACGCTAACCTACAACCGCCGTCCCATGGCAGCGGCGGGGGCGGCGGCGGTGGCTCCCACACGGCGGCGGCGGCGGCGGCGGCGCGCGCGCCGGTTTGTGATTTCCTAAACTGTCTCGAAACAATCAGTAATTGAAATCGGGACCCGGTTCGGGCGCCCAGAATTTAAACGAAATTTTTTTTTAGGTGATCTGTTTGTTTCTATTGTCTGTTGTTCGCGTTGTCTCCGCCGCATGCGAAACTGTCGCCGCTTTCGAGGATGCACGCTAACCTTCAACCGCCGTCCCATGGCGGCGGCGGCGGCGGTGGCTCCCCCACGGCGCGCGTGCCGGTTTGTGATTTCCTAAACTGTCTCAAAACAATCAGTAATTGAAATTGGGACCCGGTTCGGGCGTCCAGAATGTAATCCACAACTTGTTTAGGTGATCTGTCTTATTGCTGTTTTTTATTATTTCTCACCGTCTCCGCCGACGCCGCCCCGGAGGACAACAAATTAAGGGTTAACGTGCATGTAAATGCAATCTAACCTACAACCGCCATCCCAGGGCGTGCCTCCCCCACCCAGGGCGGCGGTGACGGCGGCGCGCACGGCGAGAAAAAAAAAATCACCTAAACAAATTGTGGTCTAATTTCTGGACGCCCGATCCGGGTCCCGATTTCAATTACTGATTGTTTTGAGACAATTTAGGAAATCACAAACCGGCGCGCGCGCCGTGGGGGAGCCACAGCCGCCGCCGACGCCCTGGGTTGCGGTTGTAGGTTAGCGTGCCTCCGCGAAAGCGGCAACAGTTGCGCACATCGCGGCGGAGACGGCGAGAACAACAAATAAATAAAAAACAGATCACCTAAACAAATTTTCGTTTAAATTTTGGGCGCCCGAACCGGGTCCCAATTTCAATTACTGATTGTTTTGAGACAATTTAGGAAATCACAAACCGGCGCGCGCGCCGTGTGGGAGCCACAGCCGCTGCCGACGCCCTGGGACGGCGGTTGTAGGTTAGCGTGCCTCCGCGAAAACGGCAACAGTTTCGCACATCGTGGCGGAGACGGCGAGAACAAAAAAAAATAAAGAACATGTTACCTAAACACATTTTCGTTTAAATTCTGGGCGCCCGAACCGGGTCCCAATTTCAATTACTGATTGTTTTGAGACAATTTAGGAAATCACAAACCGGCGCGCGCGCCGTGTGGGAGCCACCGCCGCTGCCGCCCCTGGGACGGCGGTTGTAGGTTAGCGTGCCTCCTCGAAAACGGCAACCGTTTCGCATATCGCAGCGGCGGCGGCGGAGACGGCGAGCACAAAAAAAACAATAAAAAACAAACCACCTAAACAAATTGTCGTTTAAATTTTCTGACGCCCGAACCGGGTGCCGATTCCAATTACTTGATGTTTTGAGACAATTTGGGAAATCACAAACCGGCGCGCGCGCCGTGGGGGAGCCACCGCCGCCCAGGGACGGCGGTTGTAGGTTAGCGTGCCTCCTCGAAAGCGGCAACAGTTTCGCACATCGCGGCGGAGACGGCGGATACAGCGAGAACAAATTGTCGTTTAAATTCTGGACGCCCGAACCGGGTCCCGAGTTCAATTACTGATTGTTTTGAGACAATTTAGGAAATCACAAACCGGTGCGCGCGCCGTGGGGGAGCCACGGCCGCCACCGCCGCCCTGGGACGTCGGTTGTAGGTTAGCGTGCCTCCTCGAAAGTGGCGACAGCTTCGCTTATCGAAGCGGCGGCGGCCGCGGAGACAGCGAGAACAATAAGTACAAAAAACAGATCACCCAAACGAATTGACGATTAAACTCTTGACGCCAGAACCGGCCCCGATTTCAATTACTGATTGATTTGAAGCAGTTTTGAAGATCACTAACCGGCGCCGCCGCCCCCTGGAGGACAGCAACCTACGGGTAAGCGTGCATGTTCAACGCACGCTAACCTACATCTGCCGTCCCAGGGCGGCGGCAACCCCCCCAGAGGCGTTAGTTAACTTCAGGATACGCTAACCACCTTTTTTGGGAGACGCTAACCTCGCTCATCCCTTGACAATCGTGGCGAGGTTAGCGTGCATTTTCAGATGCATATGAAGTTAGCGTTTGAACACAGTTAGCGTGCGTTTTCGGGGCCGGAAGATGCACGCTATTCTTCCCTAACTGACCGTAGAGCATTTTGTGATTATGGTTTGAATATTTTTCCCTACCTAGGCTCTGCCTAGAAGGGTTCTTACTGTCTTGGCTTAAAGGGGCCTGGCAGTGGAAAACGCCCCGGGCGGTTCCCCCGGCATCCGCCCCGCGGTTCCCCCAGTTGCGCCCCCTTAGCTTAGCGTTGCTTATCTCATCTTAGCTTAGTTTATTTCATCTTAGATTAGCTTAGCTTCATCTTAGCTCAGGTTTATCTTAGCTTAGCTTATCTTCATCTGAGCTTCGCCGAGCTTTAGCATAGCAGAGCACAGCATAGCATAGCAGAGCGTAGCATAGCATAGCTCAGCACAGCATGCCATAGTATAGCCCAGCATAGCATAGCATAGCGCAGCAGAGCATAGCATAGCATAGTATAGCGCAGCACAGCACAGCACAGCATAGCACAGCGCAGCATAGCATAGCACAGCATAGCATAGCATAGCGCAGCATAGCATGGCATAGCATTGCATAGCATAGCATAGCAACTAATGCTGCTTTCCTAGGGGCTCCAACTTCTAGGTAGGGTCGCACTGGGGTAATTTTGGTGACTTTTTATTTTTCGTCCAAAATCCCCCTGTAGGGGGACATGCCCGACCTAACGCAGGACCGAATTACGTCGACTTGTCGGAGACTGATCGTGACAAGTGTGACGTGGATGACAGCGAGTGGGGTCTCGCAGGTTGTATCTTCCAACTTGGTGGCGAGTCTATTAACTACCAAGACTCAGATCTGAGTACTTGCAGCACACAGACAAACCAATTCCAAACGATCGCAACGAGAAGCATGTACGAGGAATGGCTCGACATTTGCGACGGACTCACCACATCCACAGCGTCGTCCACCTCGGCGACGGTTACATCCACCACAACTTTGACGACGTCGGTGACTTCCAGCACGACCGCCTCTGAGACCTCCAGCATGACTAGTAGTACGATCTCAGGGACTTCTAGCACGACTGCCACCACGAGCTCAGAGACCTCGAGCACGACAAAGACCACGACGACAGGGACCACGACGACGAGGACCACGACGTCTGCTACTTCCAGCACGACTGGGACCACGACGACCGAGACCTCCAGCACGACTGGGACCACGACCACTGAGACCTCGAGCACCACTGCGTCTACGACTACCGAGAGCTCTAGCACGACTGTGTCCACGACTACCGAGAGTTCCAGCACGACCGTGTCCACATTCACCGAGACTTCTACCACGACAGTGTCCACGACCACCGATAGTTCTAGCACGACTGGCACCACGACGACCGAGACGTCCAGCACAACCAAGACCACGACCACCGCGACATCCAGCACAACCAAGACCACGACGACCGAGACATCCAGCACAACCAAGACCACGACGACGGGGACATCTAGCACGACTGGGACCACGACGACCGAGACCTCCAGCACGACTGAGACTTCGAGCACCTCTTTGTCTACGACTACCGAGACCTCCAGCACGACTGGGACCACGACGACCGAGACCTCCAGCACGACTGGGACCACGACCACTGAGACCTCGAGCACCACTGCGTCTACGACTACCGAGAGCTCTAGCACGACTGTGTCCACGACTACCGAGAGTTCCAGCACGACCGTGTCCACATTCACCGAGACTTCTACCACGACAGTGTCCACGACCACCGATAGTTCTAGCACGACTGGCACCACGACGACCGAGACGTCCAGCACAACCAAGACCACGACCACCGCGACATCCAGCACAACCAAGACCACGACGACCGAGACATCCAGCACAACCAAGACCACGACGACGGGGACATCTAGCACGACTGGGACCACGACGACCGAGACCTCCAGCACGACTGAGACTTCGAGCACCTCTTTGTCTACGACTACCGAGAGCTCCAGCACGACTGGGACCACGACGACCGAGACCTCGAGCACGACAAAGACCACGACGACAGGGACCACGACGACAAGGACCACGACGTCTGGTACTACCAGCAGGACTTGGACCACGACGACCAAGACCTCCAGCACGACAAGGACCACGACTACTGAGACCTCGAGCACCACTGCGTCTACGACTACCGAGAGCTCTAGCACGACTGAGTCCACGACTACCGAGAGTTCCAGCACGACCGTGTCCACATTCACCGAGACTTCTAGCACGACAGTGTCCACGACCACCGATAGTTCTAGCACGACTGGCACCACGACGACCGAGACGTCCAGCACAACCAAGTCCACGACCACCGCGACATCCAGCACAACCAAGACCACGACGAGCGAGACATCCAGCACAACCAAGACCACGACGACGGGGACATCTAGCACGACTGGGACCACGACGACCGAGACCTCCAGCACGACTGAGACTTCGAGCACCTCTTTGTCTACGACTACCAGGAGCTCGACAACCACTCAGAGCTCATCCTGGACCTCCTCGACCACGGTCCATACCACTTCAGCCACAAGTTCTAGTACCATCTCAAGCACCTCAGCCACGACCCAGACCATCACCTCGACCTTTACTCCAGAGCGCTGGTCCGAGGTCCGGTGCACCATCGGGCTTTCTTTCGCCAACAACCTCACCATTGTGGAAGTAGAGAACACTGCTTTGGAGGCTCTGTCGATGTATTTGAACACTTCAGAGTCGCTGATCACCATCGACTCGGTTGCCGCAGCTAGTACTGAAGTATCTGGCGTTGCCAGATTGCTGTCCGCCCAGTCTCCCACGTTCAACTACCAGATTGTCTACACGGTCATCATTGCGGGCATGGACACGAACGAGACAGAACAGCGCCTGCTCGGTATTTTCGACGATTTCACACTGCTCAACAGCACCAGCCTTATCGATCCGTTTCTCGCCCAGGTGAGCCTTGCAAACGGCCTTGGAAACGTGACTGTTTTCTATGCGACCGAACCAAATGTTATTCTGTGGTTGTACACAACTGCGACACTCACGTCGACGACTGCCACGTCCACGACGTGCTGTGTGTGTAATCTTCCTGCCGCCTCTGACGTGCCTTCGGGAGTGCCTGTCGGACTGTTAGAGGATGTTGCTGACCAGGTATCGAATCCGCCCAGGCCAGACTTAGTCCGTATCGAATGCATGGGCTTCAAGTGGTTCGACACGTGTAACCCCATTTGTGGTCCTGGATATGTTGAGGCAGAGCAGATGGTTTGCACGAACACATCAGAAGAATTGAAGATGGAGCCCTCGACGTTCAACGGAACAGCCAGGTGCGAGCGAGACGTCTGTCACGGCAGCCCGTTCAACGGAACCGTTCCGATTGGCTATGAACCGCCAGATCCGAATTGTACAGACATGCTCTACCAGGACAGATGCAACTTCTCGTGCTCCGACGGCTACACGGACAGCGGGATTACAGTCCAGCTCGAGTGCCTCAACACGACGTCTTGGCCTGTCTGGGGGCCAGTAGATTACGAGTTTGCCACGGGCTCGGGCTTCTGCACAGAGATGTCGTGTGATGCGGACTCGGTGCCAAACATGAGGGACGTGATCAATAGCTCTTCCTGCGTTGGCATTGGAAGCCGAGCGAGTTGCTCGCCAGTATGCAACGCGTCGTACGAATTGGTCGAGCCAATCAACTGTACCAAGGGCCAGTTCGACGAGATCCCCTTGACCTGCATACCCTCCGAGCACGCGGAGGTGCTCCAGCTTGAAGAGGTCCTGCTCATCCCGATGGCCATCGCCAGCGACGATCCTGGATCTGCTGAGGGCATCACCGCCGATTGGGCTGACAACCCCTCAAGCGAAGATGCCATCAAAAGCTCCATCGGTAAGATGTTAGGCTTGCTTCCAGGTCAGATCTTCGTCAAAGGGACGAAGGATTTGAATTCGGATTGGAGCTCTGTCGCTCCAACGACGACGAGGCGTTTGACGACATCGCAGGGGCTGTTCTTCGAAGTCGTGCTCCAGCCAACTGAACTCGTCAACTTCTCATCCCTGAACGAGAGCATCAGTGGTCTGGCTGCGGGCAACTTCATCGACGAACTCAGGCGTGCCCTGCAGGATGCTGGCGTCAGCGAGCCGTCGGGACTCGCGAACGCCACGTTCGTCTTCGGGCCGACCCAGTACGTGAGCTTCACTCTCCCGAGGGCGCGGTGGATAGCCCGCACGGAGTGGTCGCTGTGCAGCAACATGTGCGGCGTCGGGGCGCACACGCGTACCGTGGAGTGCGTGGGGGCCTGGGGGCGCAACGCCACCGACCTGTGCAACGCCAACGCGGCGCCGGGGTTCACCCAGGCTCCTCCTCCTCCTCCTCCTCCTCCTCCTCCTCCTCCTCCTCCTCCTCCTCCTCCTCCCCAGGAGTCGTACATGCCCGACGCCGAGCCGTGCGAGCAGTACATCCAGTGCCCCTACGACTGGAGCTGCCCCAGCGGCCCAGATCCCGTGACGGGCGAGGGCTGCGAGGCGCAGGCCTCGGCCGTGTTCATCGCGCTCGCCGTCATTCTCCTCTGCTGCGCCTGCCTGCTCTGCGCGTACCTTCGGAAGTGGCTGATGGCTCGGCCGGAGAAGACAGCAACGAACATCGAGTGGACGAGGGAGCAGCGCAGCGCTCATTACAGCAATCGGGGCTCCGCCATCCTGACACCGAAGGGTGGTCGCGGCGACCCGATCGGGCCAGTGGACTTGGACTTGAGTGGCGCGGCGGAATTTGTGCTTCAGATGAGAGTGGCGACTGCAGCCAAGGACGCCTTGCTAGTCGGAAAGGTCTATCGCCGCGGTGACGTGACATCGAAGAAGAGTGGCGAGGCGAAGGCCTTGGTGATTCTCGGGCTTACGCCGCACCGCCGATCCCTTAGGGGTGTAGTAGATGCCGTCTGGTCCGTCCGGTAGGGGCCTCGTGTCAGCCTTGTGGGGCGTCTGGTGGGATCTCCTGCGGTCTTCTTGGGGCCGAGGGCTCGGAGTGTCCGATCGGGTCCTTTGGCTGGTTTTCTTTTGGAGTTGGTCTTGGGCGCCGCCTCTGTGGGCGTCGTGAAGGTCGCAGCTGTCGTCGTGGGGCCGTCGTGGGGGCCTTGCGGGTCCTCTGCGAGCGTCGGAAAGTTCAAAGCGCGAGATTTCCCCAAAACCGCGCACAATGCCCACATAGCCCCGGGTCTGTCGTTGGTCGGGTAGAGCAGGGGGTGTATACCCAGAAGGAGTACTGACACAGGTCCCAGCGACAACGCCGCATTCGGTCTCCCTCATTCGCACCCGATCTCCGATCGTCCATCCTAAGTATAAATTCGTACCATCTCAGGTCAACTGGTGAGTGAATTATGCTTGTATTTTGTATCGAAGACGCCTACGGCGAATCACCGCCGCCCCCTGCCTTTGGAAGCGCCTATGTGGCCGAACGTTGAGGCCAGACCTGCCAAGCTATCGGACCATGCGTTCCCCGAATCGGTTTGGAAAGCCTTCGGGCAACAGTAAATATGCTCCTCTCCGCCTCATTCTGCACTTGCCTCTTCTGCTGCCTGCCTTGCCACACCTTGACATTACTGCGGTACCATCCCGCAGCTATTCTTGTACTCAAGCGAGAAAAGGAGCGCGCCAGTCCTCGGCCGCCGCGCGTCGTCGGTCGTCGGCCGGCCGGACCTCCTCCCTTCCTTTACTTGAGTGCAGTTGCTTAACGGTTCACTTATAGTTTCATCGATGTTTCATCCCGTATCCTCTACTTCTGAGCAGAGTCAACATGATACCTTAATTCCTTTGACATCTTACCCCGATTCTCAGAGGAACGACTGGTTATCAGCCGAATCCCGCGACCAAGTTGCAACAGGGATGAGCTATGATGAGACAGCCGAATTGCCCGTCGGATCGCAAGTTGTACAACGTGACGGGCGAGAACAACAGGACAGCGGCCCGGGGAGGGGCCGCCTTCCATCTTCTTCTAATGCCACTCGGATTCCTCGCGGAAGGGGTAGGGGAGATGTTACAGATTTGTCAGTGGATGATTCTCCCTCTCGAATTCCGATCGGTGATCGTGAACAGACCCCAGACCCGACGAGGCGGGATGGCACAACAGCCAACGTCAGACGAGGAGCCTTCTCATCTTGGATTGCCGAATCCTCTGAGACAATACATTCCAGCCCGAATGCCATGCGGACTATCGTGCCGGCCGCTGGCCAAGCCAGTGGGTCGCGAGAAGCTGTTGAGTTCGGCGGTGTGTACCCCGCCGTCCCAGACGGATGGGGCAACGCTCAAGGGACTCACCCCTTCCCGATCGCCTTGAACGGACAAACCGGCCAAGATAGTGACGAACAGCTTGACGATGAAGACGACATAAATTCCATGGAGGAAGACATTGAATGCGCCAATTATCAAGTATCATTAAGCCGAGATTTGTCATCGATAATTGCTGCAGACCATCCCGCCCAGGACGGGAGGTCGTCCCCTGGGCAGGAGACAGTGGACTACGATCACTGGGAAGCCCTTGGGAAAGCGCGTGTAGAACCAGATTCGGATACCGTGATGAGTGACCTGCCGCCCCAGGCGGTTGAGGTTGAAATGGGGTACCAGTCTCATACGAAGCACGACTGGGAGATCACGGGACGAACTCCCGCTCCTCAACTCAAGAAGCACAGGAATGAAGATTACGACTCGAATGATTCCCCACTTCAGGAAGGGTTCTATCGAAGTGCCGTCGCCTTCGATCGTCTGCTTCGAGCAGGGGGAGGCCCAAGATGCCACGATCTGGTGCCCGATCCACTTCGAGGAGCAACAGTGCAATATCCATGCGCGAGGTGTGCTGGAACCGGGGCCCCAACTGCCCGCCCCAGGCGGAAGGCAGATGCCCGGGGAAAGCCCACAAACAGGAAGGGCCCTGTAAGCGCCCAGTGTGTGGAAGTTGCTCTGATGTGTGTCCCAACTGTGGCAATCAATGGTTGTGTGAGGATTGCTTCCAGATGGAAGAGCATAACAGCTCATGCCTTCTCATCCAAGCTATGCAGGATCAGGCTAGATTTGTTGAGGCCAAGACTCAGCAATAAATTCTGGTCCGTGAAGCCCAGAGGGCCGAGCAGGCCCGACTGGGCCGATAAGAAATCAATGCGGTTATTGAGGACATTCGGAAAAAGTTCGAGGCCGAAAGACTCGCCCTGGCCCAAGCAGCCAGAAAGCGGGAACAATAGCTGATGGAACATATAGCCCATCAAACCGCGGATGCCCAGCAGCGCGCGGCAGAAGAAGCCGAGAACAGAAATGCTGAGACGATATCCTCCGAACGACAGGCCGCAATGACGGCGAACAGTCAGTCTGTTGATGCCAAGACCGCATCCGCCGCTGTTGTGGTGGCGAGAGTAGAAGGAGAGAGGGCCGCCTCAGCCAGGGCAGAACTTGAAAAACAGGAGCTCCAAGAACAACTTCACACTGCCAGGTTGGAAGTGGCCAGTGCCCAGACTGTAGCTGCGACGATAGTTGATCAGAATAATCACTATCGAGAAGAGCTCAAGTTACATGAAAACGCCAGAGCATCTCTTCAGTGTCTGCAGTTAGGCGACAATGCGTGCCCACCCGCTAAGCCGGCTGGGGCGAGTGGGCGACCATCGCCGGCGGCCAAGCCGTCCGGCGCAACGTTCTCGCAGGCCCAGTCTGGCTCGGCGATCGCGGCGGGCGGGATGCCACCAATGCTGCGAGTAAGGGCAGCGCAGCAGCCACGGCCCGCGAGATGGGCTGACGAAGAGAGTTGTTCGATTTGCTTGTTCGATTTGCTTCAATCCGAAAGTTGGAGAATGCGCCACTTGTGGACTGCCATGCTGCAAAGACCACTTCAATGCGAGCGCCAGGCGGTGTTTTACGTGTACGCAGCGAAGGAGTTCGCAGGCAGAACAGGAGGAGTGGGACGAGCAATGGCAAAGACACAGCGCTGATCATAACTTTCGGGCTCAACAGCAAAAGGCTCTTGACGAATGTAGCGCTGATAAACTTGGCGTTCAGCGGATGGAGGAGCAAGCTGAGGAGCAGATTAGGCTGAGCTCAGAAAAATCAGTTGCCAACATTCGAGAGGGGGATGAGGCTCGGGCGCGCGCAGTTGCATCAGAGAAAGAGGTGATGGAGCTCAAAGCTATCATCGCCGAGTCCTTGGAAGGGAAAGAGCCAAACGTGCAGTATTCGTTGCCCCACCGAGGAGCGGCCATGATCGAAAGGACGAGAGAGATGACAAGATCCATGGGAATGGAATCCTTTCCATATGTTGAGAAGGAATTGGATAAATTGCCCAAGTTTAGTCAATTCGACATGCCTCTGCTTTCACAGGAAACGCCCATGTGGCCTGTCATGCAACCCCATTATAGTATTCCTGGCCCTGCAGTTGAAGGCCCAGCCATGCCTGGTACTTCGGAGAATAGTTTACCTATCAACGCGGATTTCACAGGTACCATCGATAACATGACTTTCGTTAACTATCATCCGTTCACCAAGGATGGGCCCGTGAAACCGCCGACGGCCAAGCCGTCTGGTGGAAACAAAGATCACGCGCCAGCGGCTGCGCCGACTGGCGGGGCAGGACACGACAAGTATGGGGGTGGCAGTAGTACCGCGCCAAGTACTGAGATTTTGTCGGCACTTGCTAACGCCATTCGAGACCAGCCAGAGGAGCCGCCTCCGGGCAGTCCGGGGGCTCCTGGACCCCCAGGCGGTGGAGGTGGTCGTGGCGGACCTCAGGGCCCAGGAGGGCCACGTGACCCGGGAGGCCTTGATGAGAGTACCCTTCTGGATCAGTGGAGACAGGTTGGAAATAATTAGAAGGTTGATCTAATGGACATTCATGATGTTACAAACATACGGGATTGGCAGATGCATGCAGTCCGTGCTATTGCTGGAGCGTCTCCTGTAATACGAGAAGCACAGCGTTGGATCATGGAAGCTATGGACCCCGCTGTGGACAACGAACAGCTCAGATATCCGGGCCGCTTCCAACGTCTTGACATCATGGTCGCCACAAACTTGATTGAGGAGTTCAACGAGATGCGTAGGAGTCGCGGTCTGTCCACTCATCACATGCACTTCCTTCAACAGATCAATCGAATGGAGTATGGCGCTCAAAATGAGCAGAAGCTCTTAACGGGGCGCGAGATGGTACGAGCCATTTGCTATTGGTGTTCCGTCAGGTCGGAGTTAGGTCAACATCGCATTTCGCGTGACATCTTTAAGGTAGTCATTGACCCGAGTCGTCCAGACGCTGACTTATATCATGTCTGTAATGAAGGGACAGACGTTGATCAACAGCTCTACGGTGTTCGACCTCCATCCGATGAGATGCGAGCTTCGATCCATGCACACTTCATCGAGCAATGCAGGAAGCCTAAGAAGTTAGATTTTGTTTACCAAATCCTCGACTTGTCCAGAGATAAGCTAGGAGAGGGCGTGAGGTCCTACAAATGGCTTATATCTCAGATTGAAGCAATGCTGTTGCGCGACAAGGAAGAATGGAACATCAGTATGCGTGAGGGTACTCTGAACCAACGTGCTCGACAGGCGCGGTTGGGCGGTGGTGGAGGCAACGGCAATGACAATCGTCGAAGTGCCAACGGCGCAGCCGCTGCGGCAGAAGTGGCAGCCCGTCTCGGGAAATCTACGGATGTTATGAAGAGCGGATTGACCAAGGGCGAGACGACGTGCAAGTTTGTGTGCAAAGGGGATACCTGCCCGTATGCAGGTCAGGGATGCCCGTCTAATCACAAGAAGCCCAATGCCGCCGCACCCACCCAGCCGGGCGCGGGGGCTCAGTCGAATGCTGCCCCGGCTCCGAATTCGAATCCCAGAGGGAGGTCTGGGAA